GCTCTGAAGTTATTCATTTATCCATTTTTTTTTTTTTTTTTGAATCTCAGTTTCAAGTTAAGAGAAAGAGAATAAGTAATCTTGAAAAGTTCTACTTGTAAAAATTAAGAGTTTATTTTTTGATTTATCATTTTAAAATTGGAAATAAAATGCCTTCATCATCTAATTATCGTTTATCAAGTATTCTTTCCCCAATAAAAAGTGGGCCCAACAATAATTTCCGAGACTCCTATTTAAAGATTTCAGGTACAAATTCAAAACTTAATCAAAAGTATAATGATTATTATTTTGATAACAGCAACTGTGTTAATATTAATATTAAAGATAAAACTCAACCTGGTGAAATTAAGTCTCTAAGTCAAAGTGAACTACTTATCTATGATAAAAACTTGTTCCGATTCAAAATATTCGTTGTTACATTACTTTATATATCAAGATCAATAATTGAAACAAAGCATATTGTTAGTAATATTGATGAGAAAACTCTAATCACTCTCAAAATCTTTCATAATATCATATTTTTTTCCTGTATTTTTGCATTTACATATATTTCCGGAAAATCATTCACAACTTCAATTCTAACTTTAAATAAAACTATTGAGTTAAATTATTCAAATAATCATTCATTCAACCAGAAATCTTCCAGAATTATACGTATTTTTACTCATCCTACCTTCTTATCTATCAAGACTGTCATATATAAATCCATTACCAAATATTTTATACCAGGATTTCTAATCTTATACTTTATTCAGCCTTTTTCATATTATATTTCATCAGAATATCCAATATGGGCAGAAAGAATTACATTGTCTCCTATCAACTTTTTCTTGGATTCATTGGATAGAATCATATATAAAGCTTCATTAGATACTGCATCCAAAAAAATTTCATATTTTCCTCAAGTATTAATTTATTTATCATTTATACGTATAATATGTTTCCCAATTACTGAGCTTACAAAGTATATAATAGAATGTTCTCTTGGAGAAATCAGAAATTCTATATTACAAAACTGCTCTAGAAATAATTCTAATGATATTGACTTAATGGAAACTTGCAGTCATTTTCCCACTACTGATACTAATACTAACAATACTACTACAAATACTATTGGTTCCGTACTATTCAGTAAATATTCAACAATTTTGGATATGAATAACTCAAATAATGTGAGAAAATATCAAGAAAATCTAAATAGTCCTTTGCTAACAAATGAGCTAGAGCATAGAGATATTGGAGTTATTAATGCAAAAAATCAAGCAGAATATTACTTTTATGAAAGAGAATTCTCATTCATTTCTTTGATTAGTAAAGCTACAATTCCAATCTTGGTTATTTTAATGTTATACTACTATAAGCTTGGAGAGTTTTCAATGCTTATATTCATCCCATTAGCTCTTCCAATCATTACATTCTCCTTAGCTGGTCATTTATCTTCAGTAACAAAAGTACAAATTTCTTTGGCTTTGACTTACATTCTCTTATTCTTTCTTTTGATTCCATTAAAAGATTATTCAATAATTTGGAAGCTCTGCTTAATATTCTTACTTGGTGCTACAGATTCACAATTATCATTTATGAGAAGTCAGTATAATAATTATCTTAAGAAAAGAGAAGAAATATACATCATACATCCACTACTTAAAAGTATATCTTTATTGGTATTATTCTTAACTATTGTTTATATAACGTTTTTCTTCACAGAAAATAAATACTTTCAAAATTTAACAATTTATTTAAATACATTTAAAGAAATATCTCTACTATTTCTTATGATAACAATTACATCTCATCCACTTTTCAGATCTGAATTATACCTTGTTAAAAGTTCAAATGGGATAGAAAAAATAAAGAAAGAAAACCAAAATCTATTTATTATGATTTTTTTACATCCGATTACAATTCGTATTGTATCATTTTTATTGGAGTCCAAAATAAAGCTTGAGTTGCCTATATACATTAATATATTATTTATAACTATCACTTCGTTACTTTTAACACAAATATTTTACTATATTATGTTGGTATTCAGTTCTTTTGGGTCATTTTTGAAATCATATATTCAATTAAAAATGAAGAATAAAAATTAATTTACAAAAGCATGGATTAACGACCAGTTGTAGTTAAAAGAAAAAGATAAAAATGACGGGACTGCCTGAGAAAGGAACCATTACAATAGGGAGGTTTTAAGCTTAGGCTCAGGCTCAGGCTCAGGCTCAGGCTCAGGCTCAGGCTCAGGCTCAGGCTCAGGCTCAGGCTCAGGCTCAGGCTCAGGCTCAGGCTCAGGCTCAGGCTCAGGCTCAGGCTCAGGCTCAGGCTCAGGCTCAGGCTCAGGCTCAGGCTCAGGCTCAGGCTCAAGCTCAAGCTCAAGCTCAAGCCAAAGTTCAGGTGTGGAAAAAATATTGAGAAATAGTGGGGAAAATGTGGTGAGGGGCTAAATACTAATAGGCTTGCTTTGAATAAAAGAGAATCAAATTATAAAGATTTGGCATTGCATTCAATATGGGTGGAAAAACTATGTGCACATTCAAATTATTTATATTGTTCACACACAATAAACTTGTTAGCGCTCAATGGCAGATGTCTATCCATATAGAAAGGGCAATTAAAAGATGCAGAGTAAAAATAAATTGTATTAATAAATAATAAATCTTAATATTTACTTAAGTATATTTTAGTAGTTTAATGTATATATTTATTTTTTTTTTGAAAATTTGCAAATGAACTCTAAGCTTACATGCATGTAAATTATTAATTGTTTTCTAAAATACCGGTGCCACGTAAGAGGAAAAAAAAAAAAAGTAGGGTTGGCGCCTAAAGATTTTAGGTAGTATAATTTTTTAAGAGGAAAAGGTTTGTTCGTCAAATTTGACTTTTTGATGGAGAATCAGGTAATTTCCCAAGAAAAGGCTACCAATGAGATGAAGAAATCGAGCCAGGCTCGCCTTCACTACTTGGATTGGCTGAAAACACTGGCTGTTTGGCTGGTAGTTTTCGTTCATGTAATTTATTACTTGAACCTACTAAATATTGGAATAACAAGAAGTGAAAAGGAAATTGTCAGACAAATGATTGTATTTTTCTCAGAATTTGGAATGCCCATTTTTTTTTACGTTTCAGGAAGAGCTAGTTTTCTTTCAAGTACTCCAAGCTTGGGTGTATTATTAAGAAAGAAGATTTTACGTTTGGCTTTACCTCTAATTTCTGGGTATTTTATTCTATTACCAATAACACATTACGTGGCAAATGGTAGAAGGCCATGTACTTATACATTAGATGGAGCTCCTGCCAATTTTCATCTTTACTATTTCATGTATGTCAAAGATTTTAAATGTCATGGGTTTGAATGGCTTTGGTTTTTAGCATTATTGATTGTTATTTCTGTGGTGATGTTTCCCTTTATGAAGGTTATGAAAGGTCAGAAAAAGAGTGAGAATATTTCATATATAATTTCATGCGGATGTATTGCAGCAGTTTTTGGTCCTATCGTAATATATAGTTATAATTTTCATCCATTAGCACTTTTTGGGCTTTCATTTCCGCTAATGATTATGTTAGTTTCATCTCTAGTAATGAAATCAAATAGGGATGGGAAATCAAGTCTAAATCTTGCTTTAATATATTTAACAGCTGCATCATTTATACTTGGAAGCTTATTTCTAGCATTTTATAGTAACGTTGAATATAATTCCAACACTTCAACTATATCCTCTGATAACCACAAACCCGTTTTTCCTGAAAAAGGATTTCTTAGAGTTATTGATGACAGAAGAATGATGTTAGCTATTATTTTCTATATTTCATTCTTTGCTGTTGGTTTTATTGACCAACTACTAAGTCATTATTGTTCTATAAATCATCAAGTCATTCCCGAAAACCAAGCTTTAATTGGAAGTTCTGACCCTCTAAATTCTGAAGAGTCTTCTGATTTAACTATACCAATACCAAGCTCCAGTCAAGATCAATTTAATATTAATGCTTGCAAAGAATTCAATTTTGGTAATACTAAAAATCACCAACAATCTGTTGACAAAATAAGCCTTTCAAATGATTATAATTATTATTCCAGTAATAAGATCCACAGTATTATTAATAATATGCCAGGAATGTTTAAACCAACTCTCGTTTTCATTTCTTTGGTTTTATATTCAATCAGCTTTTCTTTGGGTAATGATGGCATTGGATATATGTGGGCATTCCCAATGTATAGAATACCAAGTAGCTCATTATTCTATGTTACAGGATCATGGATTATCGTATTTGTATTGGATTCAATATGCCATTCACTACTTAATCATGTATTTATTCCAAACTTATATTTCCATTTTACAGCATCATCAATTATAATATATATTGTACATATGCTTTGGCTTGAAGTAACTATGTCTTATATAATCATTCCGCTCCAGATACCATATTTACAATCAATCTTCCTTACTTTCACTATTACAACAATATTAAGTATAGCAACATATATCTTAGCAATCAAGGTTAAATTTATCGGATTTATTGTTGGACTCACTACCACTTTCACTTCTAAATCAAATAGTAATTCAAGGAAGAATCAGGTATCTGACGCAAAGACAAAGACTCACCAGGTATGTGTTTAAGCTATTTGGATTTCAATATCTAAAAAAGATTTAAAAGTGAAATGCTTTTTCTTTTATTAAAATCATTTCAAATTTTACAATAACAACTTTTAAACCATATCATTTAATTTAATTAAGAGCAAATAAAAGAAAAGGAAAATTCTTAAGTGGAGAGAATATTATTTTAAAGACAATTTCTTCTTCTTTTCAACAATTTAGTTTATACACAATATATTTATATGTAATTAGTTGCTTGAAATAAATTGTAATCGTCGAATTAATAATTTAATATTTTAATTTAATGGCAAATAACATTTCATTATTTTCTAATATTAACTTATTTTCGTATGTATTCAATGACCACTTTGAAAAAATATTAATGGAAAATAAATTGGCGGGAGCAAAAAGTGGAGAACACCGGCATCGATCCGATCACCTCTCGCATGCTAAGCGAGCGCTCTACCATCTGAGCTAGTTCCCCTTCGCACACGGGTGAGTGTAATTATAAGGTGATATTAATGAAATTAACAGAAGTAATCAACAAAAATTGTTGAAAGAAAAGATAATATAAAAGTTGTATAAGGAAATCAATATGGCTAAACTTTATAGAAATTTGTAGAAATAAGAATAATTAATATTAGAATACTTATAGAAGCAACCATCAAATCAAATTTTATAGTAATTATATTTATTTAACTTTTTCTCCTCTTTTTTTCTCTCTAAATAACAAATGGTATACCATTCCGCTAGAACAATAGAATTTAGTAATTATTTAAAGAGTTTTTTAAAAAATGCGTGTACAATACGCGTATTAAAACAATATATATTTGAAATGGAAAAATTTGTTGGGGGAGTTTGCAGTTAAGGAAAAGCAGTTATATAGATTCTTGGAATTAATTTGTTTACAATATATATTATAAACAAATTAACTATAATAGTTAGCTCATAGAGTATGGGTAAATGATAAAAGATTCAAGCAAGAGAAGAAATAATAATTCAGACTTGTAAACCAAAACTAAAGAAATATTTTCTTGAAAAAAAATTTGGTTTTGGCGGGAAATAAGGACTTATGTCTTAAATAATTAATAAATAGTAAACTATCAAGGGAAAAATTTATTAAAAATTGAATAATAAAACAAGTCCTAAATTGTTAAAGTGGAGATAGAGAAGGAAAAATGTCAGAGAAAGAATTAATTGAAGGAGTGCAGAAGATGGATATGGGTTATGATTTTGGTGAAAAGAAGAAGAAGAAGAAGAGTAAGGAACATAAGACGGGAGTTTCTGAAGTAGAAAGCAGTTATGTTGATGGATCAGGACAATTATTTGTCAAGGGTGCAATTTACCCATATGAAGAACTTTTAGAAAGAGTCAGAAGATTGATTCTTGAGCACAATCCAGATTTGTGGGGAGCAAAGAGATATACACTAAAACCACCACAAGTTGTTAGAGTTGGAAGTAAGAAGGTAGCTTGGATTAATTTCCAAGAAATTTGCAATATTATGCAAAGAAATGCAGACCACGTTTTCCAGTTCGTGTTAAGTGAATTGGGAACTGAAGGATCAATTGCAGGAGATGGTCAGCTTGTATTAAAGGGTAAATATGGGCCAAAACACATTGAAGTTTTGCTTAGGAAATACATTATGGAATATGTTGCATGTTCTATGTGTAAATCTCCAAATACTAGACTTGAAAGAGATAATAGAACCCGTCTATATACAATTGTTTGTGCCGCTTGTGGTGCCAATAGAAGTGTACAAAACATTAAAACTGGTTTCCACGCTGTTTCTAGAGCTGATAGAAAGAAGGCTAAAGCTGCATAATTAATCCAAATATATGGTGAATCTAATAGACTAGATTATGGTAACGAAATAATCTGGAAACAAGGAAAAATAAAAGGGAAAGAAGAAAAAGGAAAATAATCTTTTTTTTTTTTTTTTAGAAAAGAAGTCAAAATTTTCTCCTAAAGCTCAAATAAATGCTTTAATTCCTAAATTCATCCCTTGTATAATTCTTGAGGATGATAAATACCCTAACTATTCTATTAATATTAAACTAGTATAATGAAAATAAACTGATTATATAGATGAAAGTTTCATATTTCTGTATCAATTTAGCTATAACTTAACATTCTATAATATAACTCAACCTTTTGTTTGCTTGATGATTGCTACTTCCATTCTTCCGGGACGCATTTGCATTTACAGTTTACCATAGGGCATATTGTCCTATCCTCGAACCAATCTTTAATATGCTTTATATGACCTCCATGCTTACAACTTATACAACGTGTATAAAGACCAAAAACTGGTTCCAAACAAATACTGCAAGCTTCTGATGCAAGTTTCAGTACTTGAGTAGATTTATATTCTGAATATAAAGTCAAATCCAAGGGAAAAGGTGAAACAGAATGAGCTAAAATTGAACCATTATTATCTGATATTATTCCTCCTCTTTGTATTTCAGATAATGATACTGGATTCAACTCCAACTCTGAAATGAGTTCATTTGCTCCCATTCCTTCTAATCGATTTCCTAATCCCATTTTTGAATCATTTTTTAACTTATACCAATCTTCGGTTCTCTTTATATGATTTGAAAGCTTTTGAATAGCCACCACCAAAATTCTAGCATCATAATTATTTTTAATTTCCAAATATAATTTCTTTAGTAAAATAAAAAGCTTTGTTTTATCAATCTGATCAAAACATGATGAACTAGAACAAGTTAAATTAAACTTGTATGTGATAGGAGTAACAGAATCAATTATATGGTCAAACTGTCTTCTAGATGTATTAGCATCACTTTTATTCTTAAAATATGAGTGAACAACTGTCGGACATAACATCATACTCAAATTTGAATTTTCTTCAATATTGGTTGGATCTATACTAAAATTCTGTATATCCTTGACACTACGTCTTCTATTTTGCTTATATAAAACTCTTGTTAGCCAACTAAATAGTACATATGCATATTTAAAATAATCTCCATATAAGAACCTTTCCTCTGAAATATATTCCACTTTTCTTAACATTTCATTAATCTCAATCAATATATTCTCATACCTTGTAGCTCTATTCCAATCATCCTCATTATTCACTTTCATTACTACTAAATAATTTCCTTGAGATATGATCAATTTATCTAATGTATTAAATGTAAATGAAATTCTTGCTTTTTTCTCATAATTTTCACCAACTATTGCATGTTGTTCAAATCCTATCCCATATACATGCTTTCTAGTTGATGATATTAACTCTAATTGTTGTTCTTTTTTTGATCCATCATTTTGAATTAATAATCCAAATATTAATTCTGGTAAACTAGAAATAATCCATACCCAATCTATTAATTGCTTTGATACTTGAGCTTTATTACTTATCACTGTTTCATTAAATAATGATATTAATAATTCCTTATCAAGTTCTATTCTAAATAATTCACACAATTTCTCTCTCTCTTTACCATTCAATATTATATTATCCACATAAACTCTTACCGGTATTAAATTTTGCATGTAATTTTTTTCTTTTACATGCAAATAATTTAGTGACGTGTAGTCATAATTTTGTAATTTTTTAAATTCTTGTCCACATGAATTAATATTTAATTCTGATTTTTCAATAATAGAAAGATATGAAAAAATCTCTTTAATTAAGAGAATTGTATTATTAGTGAAATAATAAGTAGCTTTAATATTATTTTTTTGTGTTGTTAAAATTATTGTAAATTCAAAAGAATCAATAACTAAATTAAGATTTGTATTATCTTCCATTACAAATTTCCCACGTAATGATGGATGTCTTGAAAGTTTTGCTATAATCCTTTCGTTTGACTCAATAGAAATTGATATTAGATTATTTGCCATTTGTTGGTTTAACTTTACTTTTTCATAGATCATATTCAAATCTCTATAAAACCAGTCCAAACAGAAGCTTTGAAGTGTCAAGTTTGACATTTTGTATTTTTCATCTTCTGTAGTATTTCTTTTATTATTTATTTGTGGTAAAGAAGTTGCATAAAAATCATATTTTATATTTTTTTCTTCACTTTCAAAATAACTAATACTTGAGTGACTTGCTGCTTTTAATCCTCCAAAAACTGTTAGTCCATTATTTTCTCTTGAAAAAATTCTCTTTACTGGCCCACTATATTTTAATTTAAGCTTTTTAAGTTCCAAATCATCGCTATATTTGATTTCACTAAAGTAGAATCTTCCATTTTTATCATTAATTATTAGATCATTTGTTCCTGGTAAAAAATCAAATGTATTAACCTTTATATTTGTTCTATTCTTCCAGTTTAAATCCTGAATATCCATTTCTGTATCAACTTGAGTATGACCTTGATTCATTAAGCTATTACCTTCATCCTCTCCTAGTTCATCATCCTCTTCAACCGAACTTGATGAAAAGTTGAGTATTTCAAAATCTGGAGAAATATTAGGATTTGTTAATGATATATATTGTGCTCCATTTCTAACTCTTAAATTATTATTACAATCTGCAATACTATTATAAGCTGTATTAGAGCTTTCAATAGCTATTTTAAAATCAATTATACATAAATAATCTGTTTCGGAAATCAAAACTTTATCTGATGATAATGGTAACCATGTAAATTCGGTATTACCCTTTTCTCTACCTCTTGTCTCTCTCTCCTTTCTTTTCAAATTATCATTTAGCCACTGATTTCTAGATATTATACCAGTAGACTTTAAAACTCTAAGATCATAAATACTTAAAAATTCTCCATTTTCATGTAAAGCTCCTATTAAATAAGAATTTAAAGGATTCCATTTAATGCAATTTGTATTATAGAACGACATGAATGATAAGTCTAGACTTTTACTCCTTATATCTGAGACTCTTATTAACGCATCCTCACAACTTGTTACAAAAGTACCTGTTGAAAAATGAGGACTCCAGTCAAAAGAACTGATATTCATCATCTGAGTTGAAATACAATCCAGTCCAATAGTTTCCAAACTTCCATATAGTATTAAATTCCCTTGAATATTTATGAAATTCCCATACATACTTGGATGAGTTCCAAATTTTACTATTTCAGGATACTTAGAACTATTATGGTCATATTCATCCATAAAAATTGAATTAAGGTTACTACTTGCTTCTGTAGACTTCTTTAATCCTATCTTCTTTCCTTTATCTACCTTAATAAATTCTAGCCCATCATCTATTCTATCTTTCCATCTATCTAAATTATATATATAAACATCCTTCCTACTAAATATTCCAAATCTACCTGATTTATCAACATCCACAGAATTCAACATACCAACTCCGACACTTAAAACTCTACCAACTTCACTCTAATCAGCATTCAATATTCTCACACATATATTTCCTCTTTTGCATCAAATATTACTACTTTCCGATAATTATTCCGTTGTTTCCACACTCTAACCAAACACTTGATTCTTTCTTCTTTAAATTTCCTCAACAATTACTTGTATATGAT